CAAGGGACAGCGTCTGCTCTCAGACATAGTCACAGTGAGCAATCTACAATGGGGAGATCCCTAACTTCAGATCCTTTGGGTCAGCTGATCCTGATGGATGGTCTAAAGTTTCAAATGAGGTTGGACTGGTCACATATGTAAAAAAAAAAAAAAAAAAAAAGGCCAAGCACCCAGGCCCGCGGGTCGTGTGGTGGTTAAGGCACTGGACTCTCAGATAGCCGGCCTTGGTTCGAGTCCTGGACCTGGCAGCTTGAAAATCACACTGGGCACGTGTGTGTGTGCATGCCCAAAATCCCAGGAGGAGAATGGAGAAGGGACTGCAGGTGTGGCCATCCTTCCTAAGGGTGATTTCTCACCTTCCATCTCTCTGGCTAGTGCACATGCCCTATGGCAAAAACCTTAAATAAATAAATAAAGCCACACAATGACCATAAATCAGAATGACTAGATTTTTGTGATAACTATTCGAATCAAAAAGAAAAAATCCCCCCAAAACAGCCAAAAAAAAAAAAAAAAAAAATCCGGGCATCTAATCTGCAAACGTGAAGCTACAAGAGAAATTTTCCCAATTTGAAGTTTATTGCTCCCCGTGGTACATTTAGTTATGATTAATCATTCTAAAATTTACGAGCCAGGGTCCTGTCACAGCCAGTCGAACACACTTTCCATCATCCTCATGGCATAAAAATAGCTGCAGAGGGTGACCTCAATGCGACCTTGAGCTGAGGCTGTTTTGCTGGGGTGGGTCCAGAGTGGGCACAGGCTCTGCAGCCTGCAGCTGCTCAGAACCTAATGTCAGGGCCGAGACCCCCTGCAAACCTTGGCACAGAGAAAGGGGGACCGAACTTGCATGCCCACTCCCTCCTAGGAGCCAGCCCTAATGCCATTTGTTGTTCAATAGCTCCTAATGAATTGGCATAAACCATGAGAGGTAGCATTGTGCAGATTGGCAAATTGAACCTGGGCGTTTAAGTGGTTGCTCGTGGTGACTATAGGCAGCAGGCGGAGTAACCCTGGTGGTTCAGCTGGGCGGTTGTGCTGGGGTCCATAAAAACAACGCAGCCTCTTTAAAGAAAATAAATAAATAAATGCATGCAGTCTCCAGGAACTGTTGCAAAGTGGCCACCCTGGCCATCCCGGGCACTTCCCCTTTACTGATGCCAGCTGTCCCCACAGATAAATCTCACGGGTGCCCTTACCCAGAGCAAGCGCTCAATACGTGTTTGAAGAATCTCAGTGCTTTGGCACTGCCAGGACATTCAGATTCAAGCTCCCTGCTTTGTCCCTCAAGGAAACCGAGGTCCTGAAGGAGAGGGGCTACTGGATCCAGGTTACTTGTCACCTGGAACAAGAGCTTGTGTCGCTGCCTCCAGGAACCCTGTACAAAGTTGTGCCGGCTGGACACTGCACAAAAGCACCTGGCACAGGGACGAACCAGGTCTGGGGCCCGGCCCACAGGAGCCCGAAGAGAGGGGTGTCTTTTTCCTTTCACAAAGGGCCCGTCACTCACCAGGCCAAGCGTGGGGTCACATCTGCTCCAAGAAGTGGGTGCACTTCAATGATGCAGAAGGAGGGATGTTAAGTGAACAGATCCAGACTGTCTAGCATTTTCTAGGGCGAACTGAATCCTTTCTGTAAGCAGAACTGTGCGCTTTTTAGGCTCTGTGACCACTTGTCTGTCTGTCATCTCCTGCGCCATGCAGCAGCTGTCTCCCATCCATCCATCACCTACCCGTTGTCTAGCCATCTAGCCATCTATCTGCCATCTATCTTCTACCTACTGCTTACCCGTCAGTCCTCTGTGTGCTCATTAGCTGTCATCTACCTACCCTCCTGTTATCTGTTATCAGTCTCTCTCCTGTTTTAACCCAAATGATCAGGATATAACAGCTAATGGCCAAGAGGGCTAGGGCAGAGGACGGGGGCAGTATTTCCTCACTGCGAGCATTTACTCACCCCAGGGGACCCGGGAGCATTCTGTACACGCCTGTTCGTCAGACGAGGCTCTACGTTCTTATCCACGTTTTTCGGCTCTCCTAATGGGGTCCTGTCCACAGAATCGGCAGGAATGGAGCCATGTCCTAAACACCCAAGGTGAAAGGCTTTGGGCCCCAGAGGCGGAGAAAATATCACCCTGGCTGCAGGACAGCCAGGCTTTGCATGCAAATGATTAGGCGGGTGGGTCAGACATGCATTTGTCTGTTCTCTGTTTTCTTTTTCTTGCTTTCTTTTTTTTTTTTTTTTTAAGAGATATTTTTGCTATAAGGCACTTGCATTCTCGAGAGACAGAGAGAAAGTGAGAAATCACCCACCAGTATGGACGGCCATATTACAATCTCTTCCCCTCCGTTCTTCTGTTGGGATTTTGAGCATGCATGCACACACACCCAGCATGAGTTTCAAGCCTCTGGGTCCAGGACTCGAACCATGCTTAGCCATGTGGGTGTCCAGCACCTCAACCACCATGCCACTCACTGGCCCCTGTCTGTTCTCTTTCAGAATAAGAAATAAGTCAGGCCACTGCATTTGCATTTTCAGAAGTCCTTTATGATGCCTCCTTGTGAATTCTCTGGGTGTAGATGTACCCCAGGCCCTGTTTTCAGTTGAGTTCCTGCGCTGTGGCCGCAGAGTCCCAAGAAACAGGTTTACCACCTTCTCTTCCACCACCTCCAAGCCTTTTGGGAAGACCAGCCCTTCCTGCTTTTCCTTCTGGTTAGGGGCTCCTGGGTACTGACCAGGAGGGGCACGAGCCCGAGCCTCACTGGAGAGATCAGGGCCAGTGTATGTGTGCGGTGTCGGGCTCCTCAGGCAGGAGGCTGCGTCTGACTAGCCCCTGATTAAACACAGGGGTGGAGAGTATAGGGGCGGCTGCTAAGGGGCACCCGCAGCCTGCACGACTCTGTGAATGTGTGCCCTGTGGCATCCAGGGGCTGTCAGTCCCAGTTCATTTTCATGAAACGCAGGTCAAGACAAATGTGGGGTGTTTTTGTTTGTTTTACTCCTCAGTACAAGTCATCGTTCAATTTTCCCAGCAGAACCCAGGCACCGCGTGAACTTTCAGAGGGTGCCGCAGAATGAGAGTTAGAGCATGCGTGTGTGTAACCTTCGAGAGGAAATGTCCGGAAGGAGCCAGCCAGCCCAGGTATCAGCCTGTCAGTTTAGCAGCGGTGCCTAAGACAGATTTTGCTCTGATCTTTACAACAATGAATGCAAAAAGCGACTCCAAGATGATGTGTGTGTCTGTGTGGACTGATCAGAAACCCAGCTGAGAAGTTTGTCCTGCCGCAGTGAGACCCGAAGGTCTCGCAAGTGCCTCAGGAACAGTCCACTTAGCCCAGGGACTCGGTCCCCAGTGCTCCCTCCTTCCCCTCCCCTACTTCAGTCCACAAGGAGGAATATACCCAAGGATGTCTGCTTCCTGCCGGGCCTCAGCGATGGGCCTGGCCCCATCAGCCCCACACCCTCCACGGAGGCGCTCCTTACCCCGGCGCTCCGGGGAACCGAGGAACTGGCATCCGGTTAGGTCAGGTGCCTCGTGGAAAGCCCTGTAGCTTACTGCTAGGAGATCTGTGAGCTCAGGAAAGCTGAGCTGCTTTGTAGTAAATACTAGTGCTTCAGGTTCAGACCCCTAAGCTTACAGACCCTGCCTGAGACATGCATCAAAGCCACAGGCACAAGGAAAGGGGGAAGAGAGAAGTTTTTCATAGAAAGGGAAGGGTTTTATAAAGAATTATTTTATTAAATTTATTTATTTATTTTAATTTGATTAGAGAGGGATGGGGGGTGGAGGGAGAAGTAAGAAAGAAAGCCACCAGGTTTGGGACTCGAACCACAGTGCCCTTAACCACCACACCATCTGCTGGCCTGCGAAAAGTGGAGGTTTTTAAAATATAACACAGGTAGCTCCATACCAGAAAGGCGTGCGAGTGGGCAGCTGTCTGAGGACAGCTGTGCTGGGAGTGGGGTTGCGTGTTACTTTTATCGCAGGGCCTTGTGACGGGTGAGGCAGGGAGGTCGGTCACTGCAGCCCGCGCCTCTGTCTGAATTCGCGGGCTCGCACCTGCTCTTGCACACAGGGCCTCCCGATGTGCCCTCAGGTAGGAAGCCTGACTGCCCGGTCACGCATGCCCAGTGTGGACTGCGAAGGTGTGAGCATCCCACAGGAACGATTCTGCTCACCTCGACTCAGGGCCCCAGGGGGAGTAGGGTGCTGCCCACACTGCCCAGTCCATTCCCGTGTGCACTTGTGGGGCAGCAGGAGGGGAAAACAAAAGTAGATGCCCCTTCTTCTCTTGGCGCCAGGGGTCTAGCTGCATTCCTGGGGGCAGTGACCGATGTCAGGTTGTCCCCTGTGTTGGTACATGGGGACCCCCTGGCCGTATCTACCTGGGGCAGGTCCAAGATGTCAGCCCAGCATTCACTGCAGAGCCCGGTGCGCCTCCCTGGCAAACACTGGCAGGGCACCCTGGCTGCTGAGCCCGGCTGCCAGGGTGGGAGCAGTAGGGGGCACCGCCGTTGCTCTGGGATTGGCTTATCCTGTGCATTTAGTAGGGTGGGCCCCTGACGGGAGTGCTGAGCCGTATCATAGCAGACCCTGCTTCTGCGCGGCTCCTGCGTCCCCTCCCTCGGTCTCAGGCTTGTGGTCGTGAGTGACAACGAGGCGAGCAGTGTGCTTACGGCGCAGGGCTGTGGAGGGTCCCGGGACAGGGCCTGGCACGTGAGCACTGCTTGGCACGTGGCAGAGGGCGCACACACATGGGGGCATCGGGACCCAACACCGTTTTCGCATAGAAGACACGGAAACACCCGTCATGACTTTCCTGACGACCTAGCAGTTTCCCGTTGTCAATATCCGCGAGCCGGGCGAAGGGCGAGGAGGGCACCTCAACGAGGTGGAGTCAGGACGGACCGGGCTACACCCTGGCGATCTGGCCCTGAGGCAGGGTGCTCGCGTTCCCCGGCGGGGCCCCTGCAGTGTGGCCTTGGGGTTCTTTCCCCAGTCATCACCATATTTAAGGGGAAGGTGGAGGAGGTGGAGCTGCCGGTGGAGAAGGTGGACATCATCGTCAGCGAGTGGATGGGCTACTGCCTGTTCTACGAGTCCATGCTCAACACCGTCATCTTTGCCAGGGACAAGTGGCTGGTGAGTGCCCGCGTGCCGTCCCCCCCGGTCTGCCAGCTGCCTGCCACGCTGCCCACGGCCTGCAGCCTCGGGAGACTGGGGGACTTCAGAGAGGACTGGGGCCAGAAGGCCACCTCTCTCAGGCCCTTTCCTTAAAGCAGACCTGCCTCGTAGGCACAACGACCATGCCCCGGCCGTCGGCAGGTACTTCCGAACTCTGCCGGGCCCTCTTTCGCTCCAGTGGACACCCGCTCCCTCTTGCCATCTGGGCAACAAGTCCTAAGACTCACGTGGCTGCTGTCAGCTTGGCTCCTCGGGGCTGAGAGGGCGTAGCGCTTCACGGCTTGTCAGACCCAGCTTAGCCCCACCTCACTTGTTCCCTGATTCCACCTGGGTTCCTTGAATGCTCCTTCTTCCAAAATAAGAAGCGTGCATTCCTGTCCTAGCCCTAACCCAGACATGCCACGAAGGCCGCGTGAGAAATGCTGGCGCGGGGCGCTTGCCTGGTGACTTTATGTGCAGTTCAAAATGTGATGTCTTTGTCAGGTGAATAGATTACGACACCCATTTCCCACACTTCATCAACAGAAACCTGGAGGGCTTATGTTTCCAGACCGGGCGGCTTTGTACGTGGTAGCAATTGAAGACAGGCAGTACAAGGACTTCAAAATCCACTGTAAGTCGCTTTTTCTTCTCTGTCGGGCTTCCGTGGCAGACTTGGGGTGAGAGCCTCCCCGGTGGGAGGAGGAGGGCGGACAGGTGCCGTCCCTGTGGGAGCGTACCCGTGAGCCTTTATGGACTCGTGTCTAATGTTTGTCTCTAGTCCCAAGGGTGGCGGGTCCTCCGAGAGAAACGAAGCAACACGGCTGGTGGGGGATGGCTACCGCGGGGTGAGAGAAGAACGCAGGGTGAGCACAGAGGGGGCAAAGCAGGAGCTGACATTTGCTGAGAACAGCAGGGCGGGCCGGAAGCCTGTCCATGTCGAGTTATTCCAAAAGTCCACCTGGGGGGACCAGCAGTTAGCATAATGGCTATGTCGCTGGACTCCCACGTAGTTGACCGTGGTTCGAGTCCCAGACCCAGTGGCTTAAACTCACGCCGGGCGCATGTGCGTGCGTGCCCAAGATCCTGAGGGGAGAATGGAGGAGAAGGGATTGTGGTGTGGCCATCCCCCCTGGGGGGTGATTTCTCGCTTTCTGTCTCTCTGTGTCTCTCTGTCTTTCTGGTGAGCACATGCGCCCTATAGCAAAAAAAAAGAAAAAAAAAAGTCTCTCCAAAAAAACACAACAAAATAAAAAGTCCACCTGGGGAGACAGAAATGGCAGGTCTCTGGCCAGGACAATCGTTTTGAATCCTGCCTTCACACCATTCAAACGAATCAGGAGACTATCGACTCGCCTTCACATGAAGTAAATTACGTGTTCTTCGCTGAGGTCCTCCTGGGAAATGCAGGGTAAAGGGGGTGGGTAGAGACTTTGCTTTGAGTAATCAAACAACCATGTGTGTGTGTGTGTGTGTGTGTGTGCGTGTGCCATGCATGTAGGCAGGGGTCCTGATCTCAATGTGTATTCATAATGACGTATCAGCTAAAAACTGCAGCTTCTTAGAAAAAACATAAAACCAAAACCCAAAGAAACCCCCTCCAGTTTGTACGTGGTCTAAAATGGAGTATTTTACTCTATTTCCTAAAGGGTAACACTTCCCAGGGAGGCAGGTCCTCAGTGACATTACACTAACCGTGTTTTCCGAAAGTCAGACACAGCCATGTCTCCTGGACTGGACCCAAATGTGACAGAGGAGCAAAGAACCCTCAGAGCAAGCAAACAAGCAACAGAAGCAGGAGGCAGAAGGTCCCCCCTGTTCAGCAGTCAGCCAATCTGGGGTACCCACTGTCACAGGGTGGCAAGCCCTCTTTGGCAAGTGTCGCAGGCTGAACAGATGAGCTGCTGCACCCTGCCCTGCGAGGCTCAGGCTCCTCCGTGCAGCAAATGCTTGCCCCAGCGAGTCAAGCATTTGGCACCTCATTGCAGTTAGCAGCACAGAGGAGACCTCAATTGAACCGTGCTAGGGCTGTGTGTACGGGTGTGTGTGCTCACGCCCTTCTGTAAGTCAAAATGAAAACAGGGAGTTCAGAGCCGGGTTCAGGAGAAGACAGAAATGGGACAGCCGTGTGAGTCTCTGTGTCCTAGAAACCCTCCCTGATTGCTGTCTGCCTCTAGCCAATCAGATGCGATTTCTCATATTTGACCTCCGAGGGGAAGAAGCCCAACTCCAAAGAGAGCCAGGAGAGGGAGGCTGGCCGGGGTTAAACGCTTTGAAGTCTACCAGTCCTGGGTTTAAAGCCGGGGTTGCTGTTTCCTAACTGGGTAGCCTTGAGCAAATTAGCTAACTCGCTTGAGCCCTGGTTAAAGGGTACAATCATTAAATCCCATAGACTTACCATGAGGATTAAGTGAGATGACATTTATTAAAGATGTAATGGTCCGAAGCCACAGGGAACGAGACTGGATCTAGTTTCGGAACGTGACAGGAGCCCCTTCCGCCTGTGGCTCTGGAAAGCGAGCTCACGGCCCAGTCTTTTGGCCTCTAGTGGCTTTGAATCTAGGACAGATGTACTTGCACAGCGATTGCAGAAACGACCGAGCAGCGAGCACTGATCAAACACATGTATAAATAGGACATATTCTGCCCTCGAGCTGCGTTTTGGAGTTCTTGCTGTGTAATTGTACTGAGTAGTGTTCGGAGAACTTTCAGGTGTATTCTTTCTTCTCACAGCCGCTTAAATGTTTACTGAGCTCCAACCCTAGGCACAGCTCTTTAAGAAACCTTCTCGTGGTTTCCAAAACAAACACACCTTATTCTCTTCTCGCTTCCTCCCTCCCCCCAGACCTTCGGGGGCCTCTGGGAGCCTGCCAGGGCCAGAAGAGAGGGTGGGCCTGGGAGGAGCGGTGGGGGCAGGTGCTGCCACTGCGCCCCCTGCCACTCGAGTGCTAGCCCAGAAACTGGAGAGTGGGATTTATTCTTGATGTTCCCATTGCAACTTTCACGGCTGCTGGGAAGGAAAAAATAATAATCTAAAAGTCTCATAATTTTCTTGTGGGGTGCATGCTCTGGAGTCCCTGTCAAAAACCCAAATCGAATACTTACCATTTATTTAAAAGACTCATAAGTTTTCTATTTAAATATTTTTTTCTTTTTAGATGATTACTTTCTTATAATATTTTTGTTTATTAATTTTAATTATTAGTTATACATTTAATCGCTATATATCAGTTAGATTTTAAAGAGACTTTACCCAGCGTGACACACACTTCTTTTTGTTTTAAAGTAAAGGAAACAAACTCATTTCAAAATCTGTTTAAAATAAATGAAGTTTTTGTTTACTCTGAGTTTTAAGTCAAAAGTAAAGCAGGAAGGCTACTGGTTGCTAAGGGAACAATTGTAAGCAGATTTCAACGGGCTCAGCTAAGAGGGAAAAATTGGAAAGCAGAGGAGTAAGACACGCCTAGCCCCATTCAAAAAGTAAATTATTAGAGAAAAGTGTCCTTTTCTTTCTTCCTTTTTCCTTCCCCTCCTCATTCTTTTCCTTTCCTTTCTCAACCACATACAACACTAGAATACCAGTATAGGGGTCAGCAGGTGGCATGGTGGTTAAGGGCACTGGACTCCCCCATGGCCGACCATGGTTCGAGTCCTGGTGGCTTGCTTTCTCACTTTCCCTCTCTCTCTCTATCTCTCTCTCTCTGTCCCTCCTGGTCAAACTTAAATAAATAAATAAATAAATAAAGTGAAATAAAATCATTTAAAAAAGAATGCCAGGATGGGGGCTGGTAGGTAACATAGTGATTAAGGTGCTAGACTCTCACATGACTGACTGCAGTTTGAGTCCTGGACCTGGCAGCTTGTTTTCTCACATTCTCTGTCTCTCTGGTCAAATGAAATAATAATAATAATAGATTAAATTAAATTAAATATTTACTTAAAAAAAGAAAAGGAATACTAGGATTGGTGAAATGCAGAACCTGCTCTCAATTTGTTCAGCACCTACGAGAGAACACATTAAGGGAGGTAAATGACTGGTCTGTGTTAGGCTCATAGTACGCATTTTGTTGAATGAATGAATGAATGAACAAATGAAGGGATAAAAGTAAACCAACAGAGGAGTGTGCAAATTATAGTGTTTAACTCTGAGAGAGGAGCAGTCACGTAAAAATGTTTTCTACTACAGAGAATGATAGAGCCTCAAAGTGGAAGGAGATGTGCATATTCTATTCAATTTCATACCCAGCACATGAATCTCACCAATACAGGACTGCCTACTGAGAGTCAGAGGGGTGGGAACCAGCTTCCTGGCTGATGAGGACTGAAAGGGAGAGCCCATGTAAAGGCAGCCCCACCTACAGCTGCAGGGCTGAAAGGCCGGCCTTCGGCCTTCTCGTGGAGGGCTCAGTTGCCATCTACAGTTTTCTTTTGCATCTCCACCCCCAACATCCAAGGTTCCGCTCTGACTCTAGCCCATGTTATGCAAGGAACTGGCTTTGCTCCTGAGTGCCTGAACTGTATTAAAGTATTGTAAATACCCTCCCTTTGCCTGCAGGAGAAATGGCAAGTGGCATGTGGTGGCACTTCCTATTTTTTCCTGACCACATTCTGAGTCCCATTAACCCTAGCAAAGAATTTCAAATTGCTGGGACCAGGGTGCAAGGAAGATGTAGCATCAGCCCTCTCCAATAAAAAGTCAAACTTGTTCCCTTTAGTACTACAGAGTTCTTTTTCTCTGGCTGTCTTTGAGATTTTTCTCTTGGTTTGATTTTCAGCACTTTGACTCATGTATCAAACTGACTCATGTGTTTTCTTTGTATTTACCCTGCTTTGGGTTATATGCAATACTTGCATCTGTGGGTTGACTATGTCTTTAGCCAAGGACGATTTTCACCCATTATCTACAAATAATTTTTTTTTAATTTAAAAGAATTATTTAACTTTTCATTTATTATTATTTGTAAATTTAACCAGAGAGAGACAGAGAGAGAAAGGGAAAATGAGAAAGGAAACTGCCAGGTTCAGGACTCGAACCATGATTGGCCACGTGGAAGTCTAGCGCCTCAATCTCCACTCCACCTGCTGGCCCCAACAAATAATTTTATTTTACCTAATTCCCCTTCTCTTCTCTTTAGGAATTCTCATTACACATTTATTTTATTTTATTTTATTTTGAGAAGTTTTCGTTACAGGGCGCGTGCACTCGCCAGACAGACAGAAAGAGACAGAGAGACAGAAAGCGAGAAATCACCCCCCAGGGGGGATGGTCACGCCGCAATCCCTTCTCCATTCTCCTCTCA